ATGTGGGGACTTTCTGCTCATTTAAAACTTTGTGCCTCTGTGGTATTTGGTGTAGGTCTCTGGTGCATTACTGTCACAGGTGGGCGTTGGTAATGTAACACCATGCTTGGATTTCACAGGTCTGTGTTAATCACACACACATTCAAGTCTCAGCTGGGCCCAAGACATTTCATGTAGCGGCAGCAATAGAAACGCAAAATAATTATGCCTTTCAAAATAGCCTGAATAATCTAAGTTGTAGTTGTATTTAAATGTTTAATGTTTCCATTAGCTTGGCAGAATTGTGGGTGATACAGTTTCTATAATAATAACTGCTTCCAAAAATTTTTGGAATGACATTTCGTCTTTTTAATAGTTATTTTTTATTTTACTTTAGATCACTCATTTTCCTTTGTTTCCCAAAAGGAATATATAATGGCTAATGAGCTTTTAATGATTGTGTGATAAACAGTGATTCTTTGATTTTTTGAATGAAATAGCATTCAGATTTCCATGTGCGTCTTTGTGGACATCCAGGGGCAACGGGGACCCCAGATGGACTCCATTACATCTGTTAAAGAATTTGGTACATCACGGACTATAATCCTGTGCATAGAAATAATAATTACATACAGCAAAAGCCTGGACTAAGCCTATTATCTCCTCACACCATCATTGGAAAGCCTTCTCACTTCAATCCCCAGGGTAAAACTAATCACCTGTTAAACTACAGTATATCCACTCAATGGATTGTTGCGCTGTTGCTAAAAAGTGGTATTTATAAAAAAAGTTTTTAAGTGAAAATGCTTATTGTGGGATTAAGTGAAAAGACAATAAAAATTTTGAGGTATTATTACATCTGTATAAATACAAAAGCTAGGCACAGATAAAATGAAAGTACATATACCCTTTCCACCTACTATTAACTGGGTTTTCTACTGATATCATAGCTTTTCATTTTTTCTTCTATTTCATTCTGCCAAATTTTCTGACAAGCATTCTTTGCAATATTGTGCACACACACACGTGCACATATATGGAACTATTACTTGTAACTGACAAAAAATCTTTTAAAAAATATTCTAACCAACCAATTTATAAAGATTTTCAACACCCTCTTGTTTTGGACAGGTGTTGGTAGTGTGTTTCACTGTTTTTGGAGGACTGATGGCATTTAACTACAACCGTGCACTCCAGGTGTGGGCAATCCCTCTGTTACTGGTAGCTTTTTTTGCGTACTTAGTAGCCCATAGTTTTTTATCTGTGTTTGAAACTGTGCTAGATGCACTTTTCCTGTGTTTTGCTATTGATCTGGAAACAAATGATGGATCATCGGAAAAGCCCTACATTATGGACCAAGAGTTTTTGGTAAGCAGACATTTCATTTCCTGTTACAATCTCCATCCTGACAATCTCAGAAAGTTTTGAAAAGATTCACGCACAAAGGAGGTTCCGTACCCAGCCTCACTTTCTCTTCCAGAGGGCTCTGTAGGCTTCTACTATCCCATGGCCTCAATGTCCCGAGAACAATTTGAATTGGAGTCCTTAGCAGGAGCAGCACTTCTACCCTGGGTGGAAGGTGGTAGTCCAGGTCCCTTTGGTGCTAATGGGTTGGTCTGGAAGTGTAACGGTTGATCTTTTTCTAAAGCATTTCTATATCCCCAAGCATCATGTCATACCCACGGTATTTTAGGCAGAGCACGCTCCAGGGTAGACTAATCACCTTCTGTGCCAGTATTGACAGATCTGCAATTCTCAGGCCCTTTATTCACGAGAAAAGCCACACCCTGTACCCAGTGTGAGCACAGCCCCCATACTGCTTATATCTGGAAATAGCAGGCAGCTGTTTGTAACAGCTTTTGCAACACAGTTGTTGCTTATTTGCTTTATCTTGAGTAGACAGGGATATTTAACAGCTGAAGGCTGTCTCATCTCTTTTCTTCTTCGTTGCATGAGTCACCTGATATTTTAATAATTTTCTTTTATGCTGTTGCCATCAAACTGAAGTGTTAAAGCCCTTTTTCTTTTAAGCAGAGCATTCAAAGCACTCTTCAGGCACTGAAGTTTAACAAGCACTACTGTAGTTTTATACTTAGTGTATCCTCATCTTTCTCCATATAAAATATAAAAATGCAATTTTTACTTTTTTACTTATTTATTTTGACTTATTTGTAGTACTCTAAAGAAAGTGTTTCTGATGGTGGTATGAAGCCAGTCAGATCTTCATTCCCTGATTCACACTTTTCCGGTTAAAAATCCACTTTGAAATATAACCCTCAAAATATTTATTTGAATAGGGAAAACGTTCTTAAGGATTCAATTCTCCAAAATTATATAACTAAGAACTCTTTGTAAATGATTACTGTTGGGGCTGAGAAACCAATACCCCAAATATGGTGCTTTGACATGCTGACTTGAAGCAGCCTTGAGTTCTGACCTTCCTCCCCTCTCCTCTCAGTTCTGTCTCTCCCTAAGCATAGGATGAAGTTGTTCTCTGAAGTCCCCTTAGCTGCCTAAAGTCCAGACCCACCAAAGAAGAAAACAATTACCTCTGGTCATATCCCTGAGTTTTCATTCACTGAACTTATGTTGCAGAAACAAAGACTAAAGTCTGTCTACACACCTGGATGTACTTTTGTCACAAACCATTGTCTGCTCTGCCCAATAGACTTTGTCCTAAGCCATTATATGCTCTTAATGTTCACTAAATTCCCTTGAAAATCACTACCCCCCTAAAATCATTCACACTTCCCCATCTCCCTTTCCCCTAAAAAGAATATAGAACTATCTGTAGCCCATTGCATGGTTAGGCAATCACTGTGATTCTCCCCTCTACACGCTAATAAATCTAGAGCCTTCTCTATGAATCTGCCTTTTGCAAGTTAATTTTTCAGCAAAACTTCAGAGGGCAAAGGAGACGTTTCCCTCGGCCCTTATATTATTATGAACAGTGCAGATACATAATAATACTGATCTAACTCATTCTTTTGTTTTTCAGAGTTTTGTAAAAAGGAGCAACATACTAAACAGTGCACAGCAGGACAAGAATTCTTTAAGGAATGAAGAGGGAACAGAGCTCCAGCCCATTGTGACATAGGTGCCCATTAGATATTTGTACCTGTAAAAAGTTTCCTTCTTCTAAGGGGCATTTACAGAATAAAAGACAAAACTATTAGAGAAAAGTTAGAATTAAAAAAAAAAAAGGCAAGACTTGATAGACCCTATTCTTCTTCATTGTTTTTGTCATTAATGTTTAACCAGATTACAATACTGGAGCCATAAGTTTGTAACCTATTTTTGTACCAATTAGGACAGACTTTTAAAATCATGTTTATATGCATCAATTAAAAAGCACCATATGTAAAAACTCAGATTTGTTTTTAAGGTTACGACCAATAAATAAACCTTTTTAAGAAAAAGATTTTGTTAGCAGAAATCTCTGGAATATTGTATTATTGTGGTGGTTTTTGTTTTGTTCTGTTCTGTTTTGTTTTTCAATAGAGAGGAGGTCTTGCTATGTTGTCCAGGCTGCCAAGCTGGTCTCGAACTCTTGGGCTCAAGAAATCCTCCCGCCTCAGTGTCCCTAAGTAGCTGGGACTACAGGTATGTACCACTATGCCCAGCTTGGAATGTTGCTCTTATATAGGGTAGGACATTTCCCTACTCATCCAATCCTGGAAATATGCTCAATATATTAACTTTTCCAAGTACAATTCTTAGACTTAGTGACACTAAAGACCGAAAGTTTAAACTCTAACCAGAACTACCACCTGAACTGGGCATGTACAGGAGAGAGGCAGAAGTTTAACCAGCTATGACTTAGTTGGTAAAAGCACCAGGCTCTTTTATAAATTAGCAGACATTCTGAAGAAGTGGTTTTCAACCACCACTCCACCTGAGAATTGCCTAGAGAAAGATTTTTAAAAACACTTTTACCTGGACCCCATCCCCACTTACTTAGATGGTGGGAGAGCGGGGGGGAGCTTTCCCTTTTTAAAGCTTTAAACAAAGAGAACATTAACATGTTGATTGGCAACCCTGTGTCTGTTAGATGAGCAATAAATAGATTACCTCTCCTAACAGGAGGATCCATCTGATTTATTGGGCAGGGCAGGTAGTAAAGACATAAGGCTTCCCTTCCCTAAACACATCTTCAAAAATGACAAGAAACAGCCTGACAGCCCAGATCTACTTTAAATGCAAATTACTTTTTTTCTTAAACAGCACCATTGAATTAGGTTAGGCCCAGCAGTTTCGTTTAGGAAAGAGATTTACAGAGCAGTTCCTCAGAAGCATTAAACTTAGTCATTGTGGAATGATGCGCAAGTAAACTTCATTTTTATGGGTTTTTTTCAAACCACATGTATCTTCCTTATCTGTCTTAGCAAAGAAACAAACAGGCACATTTTCACCCCCAAATCTAATAGAGCCAATCCTATCAGAAGAAATCTTTTGGCTGAGACAGTGTCACTGTGTGAGTTACCAATTTTACTGACTGCATTGTTTCCATTACATTTAACTGACCTTTTCTCTGTCAGGACTGAATGTTTAGGTTTTACTACACACCCTAGCTTATTATCAAACAGCACATCCTATTCCTGATCCAGTACGTTTCTTACTCATATTTATTCACCCTAGGATATGAGTATAAAATTCCCTACTGTTATCAGTATCGCTGAAGATGATTTTAAGATTATTCTAAGTTGAATTAAAGATGAATTTGCCCCCATAATATGCTGAAATAAAAAATAAATCAAAAAAAAAATGAATTTGAAGCAGCCAAGTCACAGTGAAACAACGAGGGTCAGATAACGACTTGAATCCTGGCTAGCACGTGTCATGTGCATTGGGCAAGTCCCTTCATTTTTCTAAGCCTCTCTCTCTTAAGCATAGAGTGCAGGTTGTGTGGAGTAAATAAAATGATGTTACTTTATAACAGTACATGGGGAAGTACTTTTTAAAAAAAATCTGACTCTTCCTATCTAGAAACTAGCCAGAAAATAATCAGCCTGTGGTTCATATGAATGTTCAAAAAAAATATTTATTTATAAAAAATACAATGGGATAAGTTTATGCTGAGAAATGCAGCAGTAAATACAGTTGAAGAAAACAGAGCAACTCTACATTGATACATTGGCACAAACAGGAAGAGCAAACGCACCACCCAGACCTAAATGTCTGCAGGCCATTTTTATACATGCTCCTTCAGAAACTCCACTCTGAAAAGACCTTGTCAGCTTACGTAAGAGAATGAGTACACATATAATCACAAATGCACACTGATCATGACTTTATTTAAAAATTAGCAAACAATACTGTAGAAACATCCATATGTAAATTTCTAAAAAATGCTGCATCTTATATTTAATTGGCAAAGACCACATTTAGCAATAAGCATGAGTTTAGTCTTCCATGTAGAAACCAGATACACTAAACTGTAAAAAAAAAAAAAAAAAGTCTCCTATCGTTTGAAAATACCAGTTTAAGATTGTAAAAATGCATAGATCTTTAATAAACGAATTGGCTGGACAAGAGTACTCCCCTTTCACAGTATTCCTTTTTACTTCATATGTGAATTACTGGTTATGCTGTAGGATTTAACTGTTACAGCACTAAAAGGCAACTATTTAGGGAAGAGGCAGAAAAAGGAAAAAGGAATGTATGTAAGGCAATTTCTTTTATTAGGTACAATAAGCATAATAGTGTTTTAGGAAGACAAGATAAAAATTACTCAAGGCTAGCTTGGTTCTCACTGAATAAAAACAATGGACTGAATACTGGGCTCCTCTGCGTGCATCTAATAATCAATGCCTTGGTCGCCATACTGGTATTCTCTGGGGTAGTCATCGGGGTACTCGCCATGATACTCATCTGGGTATTCTGCCTGATAATCGCTATCACTGATTTCCGACCCATTCGTTCCTGTTCCTTGGCTTCCATTGTGAATGACAGGTTCTGTCGGAGCAGCACAGTATTTGGGGTCATATACTTGCCGCCCAAGCCCGTACACACTCATTCCTTTCTGGGAAGCAACTTTGTTGGTTCCCATCTGTAGAGAAATTGTCGAGTTGTCCACTGGTTGTAATGTGAGCTTCTGGTCGTAGATGTCTCTTCTGGTACCTGGTGCCAACATCCCTGCCTGGTATTAAAACATAGTATAAAAGTTAAAACACTAGCTGGAATCTACTCTTGTGAATATTTTATAAATTATAAAACTGACAATGAATACGAACACTAATACAGTAACTTTCATTTGGGTCAGGGGTAAAGATAGTTTAAGCAAATATCCTTATACGAAATCACTCCAATGAAGCAATATTCATTGGCTTTCAAAATAGGTCAGGCCTTCCTTCAAATCCTTGTTCTGCTATAAAATTGCTATGTAGCCTCTAACAAGTTAACTTACTTTTAGTTTTGAGTTTCTCGTATGCAAAATGGAGACAATGCTACCTACTTTGGATTTAGGAAAGGATTAGACATAAAAAAATGTAAAAACAAAGCATAACGCTGGCACGCCTGAAAGTTACATTTGAATGCTCATTATGGCCATATACGCTATCCAGCTTACCAATTTCAAAAGCTTTTAATATATTCAACAAAAAGTATGCTGAGCAAAACTTACAGAGTTGAGTCTTTTCAAAAGGCTCTGAGATACAGAAGAGCCAGCCCCTTAAGAACAGCTACTCCCCTCTTTTTCAGAGTACAGTAACTCATACTTCATTTCTCCACTTACATCAAGTACACACTTACAGATTTAAAGTGGGTAAAACAGCAAACTTGAGTGACAGCTATGAGAGATACAATGCCACACCTGGCAGGACATGTTCATAAAAGACAAACAATAAATCTCACCTTGGGGGCATTAAGAAAATGTTTTTCAAACCTTATCCCCACTCTTATTGGATGTGAGACCTGTCTGCTCTCAAATGGATACAGAAACTTCCTTTCCGAGGTGCTGGTTATCTAGGAAATTCTATCTGAGATATGGTGTTGGAATACTGGTATTTTCACCATGTTGCATTTCCATCTACTTTTACTGACACATTTAATAGAATGCTAAACAGTTCTTAGTAGAACACAGATAATTTTACCTACCAACTTAATTAAGGTCTCCTTTAAAAAAAGTCAGTATTTAAATGAGTGCTCTTTTACTTGAATTTTGGAGCAAGAACATTGTCATAAACGTGTCTTTTTTCCTTCTGGTTAGACAGAAAGGTCAGCTATTCTAACTGCCCAAAAAACTCATGAGCCACACCTTTTTCTTTCTTTGTTTCTGTTTTGGAGACAGTCTTCCTCTGTGGCCCCAGCTAGAGTGCAGTGGCATCATCATAGCTCACTGCAACTCAAACTCCTGGGCACAAGCAATCTCCTGCCTCAGCCTCACTAGTAGCTGGGACTACAGGTGTGTGCCACCACACCCAGCTAATTTTTCTATTTTTTGTAGAGACAGAGTCTTGCTCTTGCTCAAGCTGGTCTTGAACTCCTGGCCTCAAGCTATCCTTCTGCCTTAGCCTCCCAGAGTGCTAGGATCACAGGGGTGAGCCACCGCACCCAGCCCACACCATACTTTTGTTGCTACAGAAAAGGTCCTTTGATTCTTTTGCTTTCCCAGAAAAATCTACTTTCCTGAAAGAAAATACTCTAAATAAACTATACAAAAAATACCCTCTTTAAACTTTTAGTTAATAAGTGTTAACTTAAAACAGCCCTTTTGTACTCTTTGCTGCAAGTATAAAAAGGTATTGCTTACCTGGCTGGCTCCTTTATTAGTGCCCATCTGCAGACTAATCGTGGTCTGGTCAAAAGGTTTGTCAGTTTGCATTTTGGGATCATAAAGGTGCCTCCTAGTCCCATAGGCTGTCATACCTGCCTGGCTGGCACATTTGTTGGTTCCCATCTTTTAAGTTAAAAAATAAAATCAGCATTAATTATCAGATGTCAACAATATACACAACACAAACAAAACTTTCTGTGCTACTAAAAAGACAGAAGGGGTGAAACTGACAAGTGCCGAAATTCCGGTCAACTACAAACTTTCCTCTATGCATTTACAAACAAGTTTCATGTGCTAACATAAAAATATTTTCAAAAAATTCACTGTACATAAAACTTCACAGGACAATTAATCATATATATACATGCACACATGAACAGATGGATGGACACACTAAGTTATTACAGTGGCAGAATTATGAATAACTTCCTCTACTACTCTTTCCCGTTACTCTCTATAGCACAGATAACCAAATTTAGAGGTACTCGCTGCAGTCATTTAAATCGCCAGAAGCAATCTCAGGCCAGGCAATATGCCATTCCACTCTAGATATGTTTTATATAAAATGTGAAAGCAAATGCCAGGTCTCTCTCTGGGAGCTTAATAAGGGCCAAATTTCAAAATCACCAACATTTTCACGGGAACAGAACTACACTTTATTCCTCCAACTTTCTCATCACTGGATAGAGCCAGAGAAAGGCAGAATAAGGAATCTGAACTCAGCCACATTCAGAGGAACAATAATTAACTTCCCTTCCCTGTTGAGAACAATATGGCTTCAGGACCAACCAGTGCACCCTGTTCTACTGGTTCGGGACATGTTTCTACTGCTGAACGTTTTCTGTTAAAAATATGATTTATTAATGAAAACCTTTATTACTAAAAGTAAAACCTGTTTATTAAAGACGACTTAGAAAACATATATAAGCAATAAAAGGGAGGGGGGAGTCACTGCAATACTACCATCTAGATATTTGCTGTCAACATTTGTGAATATCCCGCTAGAGTTTTTACCTTATGTGTCTGTGTACATCAATGGATGCACATAAATACACATACATACAAAATATGTGCGTTTTTTTAATTTAAAAAAAAAAACACACTGATTACAGTATTTTATGACCCGATACCTGATTTTTTCCCCCTTAACCTATCTTTTCAAACTCTAATGTATCATTTTTATATCACATGTTCCTTTTATGGAGTTATAATTTAACCAACTGACTACTGTTTGGAAATTCTGGTTTCCAATTTCTCACCACTGATACAATTTTGTACTGCATAAAAGGAAATCTACCCTCACATAGACTTGGTCGAGAGGGGCACTGTATCAAGCCGGTATCGGAGAGGAAAATTCATAGAATTTAGGGCATTTAGCAAAGATGTTTTTGTGACATTCTCCAGGGGAACAATGTGAAGAGAAAGAAAACATCTGAATTATGTATTTCTGAAGAATTAAACTGACAATTTCTAATAGGGCTTGGCTGCTATATCATGCTTTACTAATGTAAATAAATGACTTTGGCATTAAGGTTTTGTAAAATTGCCTCATTTGGTCAATAATATTTAGGAATTTATAAAGTGCATTTTCTTAAAAAAAAAAAAAAGACAATATGATTAGAGAAAAAAATTTTTCATTTCCTAGAAAAACAATTGTCAAGTCAGGTGGCATATCTGAGGTTTCTTCTAAAGCCATCATCATCATCATCTCGTGAGCTTTAAATAGATATAAATTGTATAAACCACATATTTATCCTAAAAAATCTGCATTGTAGTACTTCTATTTATTTTTTACTTAGGAGAGACTTAACATTTTGCATGGAGAAAAGTAATGATATTACATAAGTATTGAATAAGCAACACCACATTACTTACCTGCAAACCAATTACACTTTGGCCAGCTTTTAATTTTCCTTCATCGAAACGTCTTGTTTGTTTTTCTGCATACTTAACCCCAATGTCAGTGGTTGTATGGAATCCTTTTGTTTTAGCCTAGACAGAAACATGCACACTAAATGAAAAGGAACATTTAAATAGATATCTTGCCAACAGAGTTTCACAGAAGAAACAACAAAGAAATGCTATGTCTACAGACAAAGGCTTCATTAGGTAAGACCCAAATAAGAGGTGAAAAATATTTACGGCTATTCTACTGAATACACCGTGCCCTTTGAAATGTGAGTGTTCTAATTAAGCTATCCAGTGTGAGGTGGTGATGTCAGCAGCCTTTCCACAAAGCTGATAATTACAGAAATGACAGCCACCTCCCCATGGGAGAGCAATGACGCAATTCATCACCACCGTGTAGAGGCTTTTTAACCAGCCATTAAAGACACATACATACCAGTCCTGCGAGAGCCACTAGAGTAGTCTGAACCTGGGTCATGTTTCCATTCTCGAAAAGATCATTTGCTTCAAATATGTCATGTGGCTTCATCCCATAAGCCTGAATAGCTTTAATAAAGTTGCCAATATTCTCCAACTATAAAGGAAAAAGAGTCATATAACTTTTGCTGCTAAATATTGACATTCATAGTGTCTAAGGATTCTAAGTCTTCATGACTAGTTAGTTACAAGATGCCAGACAGAAAGCTACCTGGCAAAGATTCTTAACCAAATACATACTACACACAGCTCTCTTTGGAAAAGGAAAGAGTGAAAAGAGAGTGTACTTCTAAATGTAGGTCACATAATGGTCTTCATATTTTTAAGCAGTTAAGTTTTTTCAGCTTTCTAAGGGCAAGATCTTCCTTATACAATTTTTAAGAATTCTGTGTCAAAGCTATCCAGGCCTGAAATTTTCTTTGTCAAAAGGTACATAATTACTCATGTTAATAAATAATTCATAGTAAGAAAATACGTAACTGTATACTTTTGGCTTGTATTTCTTTTATGATCTGCTAGAAAAATATAGTGTTTAACTTCATCAGTTTTAATAATTATATTTTTCCTTTAAAATGAATAAATAATTTTGTGTTTTAATTTTAAAATGTGTGGTTACCAAATGCTCATTTTCTCGTAGCTCAAAACACGTACTCAAGACCAAATAAATACCCAATTTTACTTAATCATACACATTCATGAGTAAGATTATATCTGATACAGTGTTCAAAGTCAACCATTAGTTGTTATGTTAAATGCCTTGCTTTTCCCCGTTTATCCTTACAGTCTGGGTTGTATTTCTCTGTGTAAGCTGTGTTAAATCCTTTCTCAAAGTAGACAGACTAAATATAGGAAACTTCTAAGCTAAATACCTAATAATTACAAAACTAGTTCAATACGTAATTATGGAACCATTTTAAAAAACTGACCAAAAAATTAAACATAGCCATGTGCACAAATTTCGGCTCAAATGTCCACTTTAAAACTCTGATCAAAAAATAAAAAACCAAACCAAACCTGAAATCAAGTTTTCACTACATAAAAAGTAACCAACTAGAACCGGAGGTTGTTGGTTTGGCTGTTACCTGAGGCCAATTTAATGAGGACTCGTTGACCTTCTTCACTGAGCCTGGCTGCAGCTTGTTTATGAGTCTGAAAAGAAAAATATGAGAGATGCCTTATTTATTGGTCACACAAAAGCAAGGATTGGCATACAAAGTTGGTTCCTGAACATCACTAAAGGAAAGCATTAAACACATTTGCAGAATATCAAGGTCTGACACCCTGCAACGGGAAGAAGGGTAAGACAGAAGCCCGTGGACAGGACGGAAGGGCAGAAGCAGACACCTGGGCCTGGTACTTACTCGCAGAGGATGATGCCGTCCTTCAGGCCCAGCTGGAAGTTGGTGCCGATGCTCATTCCTGTCACCTCCTCTATCCAATTGCGAAGATCTTCTTCAGCCTGATGATCATACTTGGAAGCAATCTGAAATACAAGTTAACTAATTTTAGAAGGATTTCACTAAATCAAAAACTGCTGACTCACAACATGCTCTGCTTTCGTTATCCATGAAGCCCACAGCTGTGACAGGCAGTAAATTACACTCAATAGGGTTGATGGGGAACTTAATCAACTGTTACTACTTCAGTAACTAACATTTTTGGTGAAGACAGTGTCATATGAAATTTTGAACAGCACATGGAGAAAAGGTGGGACTGAGAAAGAGAAAATAACCATTGAGACAAGACAGACTCCCATTTGTGACACACAGGAAGTGACAAGGATTTAATAGTGTATTATAATATGGCACCAGCCGTGACTTTAAAGATTAAGTCATTAATCACCCTATTCCAAAAAAAGATGAGGAGAGGATTCTGACACATGAAAGAAACTATTTCACAAAGTATCTCAATTGGCCAAAGATATATCATTCCAATAGTTTTGTTGCCTGAAAGTTGTGGTATTTGCCTTCTTTTCAGCCAAATACATACTACATACTAAACAGAAACACCCACACACTTTCCTCAGTACTAATTATTGTACTTACAGCACAATATTGAAATTCCGTTTACGTGGACTCTATCTTATTAGACTCCTTATGGGAAGAAAAATCATTTAATTTACTTTTGGATTCTTAGTACCTAGCATTGTATCTGACACTCAAACATTTACTAAAACTAAAAAAAAAAAAAAAATCCATTAACTTTTTACTCATAGAATTCTACAATAAAGGCAACTTACCAACACAGATGCTGTGGTGTTCAACATGCTAAAACTAATTGCTATACATAGGTTTTTTGTTTTTTTTTTTGAGACAGAGTCTCACTCTGTTGCCCAGAGTAGAGTGCCATGGCATCAGCCTAGCTCACAGCAACCTCAAACTCCTGGGCTCAAGCGATCCTCCTGCCTCAGCCTCCCGAGTACCTGGGACTACAGGCACGTGCCACCATGCCCGGCTAATTTTTCTGTTTTTAGTAGACACGGGGTCTCACTCTTGCTCAGGCTGGTCTTGAACTCCTGACCTTGAGTGATCCACCTGCCTCGGCCTCCCAGAGTGCTAGGATTACAGGCGTGAGCCACCGCGCCCGGCCTATACATAGGTTTTGAGAGATCCCTTCATAATAAGAAGACCACAGGCCTCAATTTTTTTTAAATTTATTTTTATCTCAGCATATTACGGGGGTACAAATGTTTAGGCTACATATATTTGCCTTTGCCCCACATAAGTCAGAGCTTCAAGCGTGTCCATCCCCCCAGACAGTGCACACCACACTCATTAGGTGTGTATATACCCATCCCTTCCTCCCACCTCCCCGACACGCGATGAATGTTATTACTATATGTGCACATAAGTGTTGATCAGTTAATACCAATTAGATGGTGAGTACATGTGGTGCTTCACAGGTTTCAATTTTTTAAAGAATTCAAATAAAAATTAAACAAAATGTTGTTAAAAATCACATGTTCAAGTTCTTAAGCTCTTCCTTGTCCTAGAGTCCGTAAAGGGACTGGTCAATCAGAGGTATTAGGACGAGCACAGCTGGGAACAAGGAAAGGTAATGCATCATCTGTCTTCTCATTCAGCACATGGGAAAATGCCAGGTCTACATAGGCAATGCCCAGGGGATAGAGACCATGAGCTTGGGAATCAACGACAGATAGCATTGTTGGAAATGAATGGTAGAAATGTTTGCTGTCCATAAAACATAATTAGGGTTAGTTACTGAAAGACATGAAACAGCATCATGACATTTCAGTCACAAGGAGGTCCTTCAAATTCTAGTCTGCACTGGTCATGGAGGAACCAAGCACAGCTACGCGAAATTCCCTGGGTTCCTGGTGCCAGAGCACAGGAGCTTGGGCTGCATCCAGGTCCTTTCCAGGAGAGAACTGTGGGTCAGCAGGATCTGGACAGACAAGGAAGAAACTGGCCAGCTTACCTTTAAGGCACAGGCACCCAACAGTGAAAACCAGCACTGAGTCTTAAACACACAAATTGTCGCATTTGATCCTTTTCACATCTGTCAACAGCCTTTTATACTTTTCAAGGTGGGGAAAAGATTCCATTTCCCAGGTCAAATAAGTGGAAAAGGCTACGTTCCCCTCTTGCAGGCTCACCCATGACCTGACCCGAGCCTGAGCTATCGCAGCTCATAATTAGACCTTCCTTACGCTACTTTCAGTGACCCTCTCCTACTCCCCACCACCAAGGGATGAGGCTTCTGCTTTGACTGAGAGAAGGCAAATGATTTCACTAATTATTCTGCCATTTAGGGTGAGCACAATTCCTGGACCTTTGCACCCCTGCCCCATTAGAGGAATGCCTCTACAGCTTTGACAGAATAGTAGATAATTTAAACTGTAGATTTACCAGAATTACAAAAGGAAATCCAACGAGCTTATATTTTTATATTAAGATAACTAACATTGTGCAATGTTTCATAGATCACATTTGGTCTGGAGGTTAGTTTATAAAAGACAATTTTAGGTACGATGTAAAGCTACCTAATGCATGGTGATTACTGCCCCCTCAGACCCCCAATCCCTGAAAAACACACATCTATTTTTATTTCCTGCCAGTTTAGGTTATATGAGCTTCTGGATGGGGGAAGAGGGAAGGAGGAGATAAAGATGCTGGAAGATTTTGCCACAGAGACACAGCTTGTCCCTGGAAAGCACGAAGCAATCATTACTCATATTATAACTCAAATATTCTCGGATAATGTATCTCCTCCAACATAGCACACAAATCCATTTATATATGGCACCATTAGAAAATGGAATAGATATTAAATTGGTAGACAGGCTTTTAAACTCTTGACTATATTTTCACATTGGAGTCTTATTCTAGGTGGCTAGAAAAATTCTCTATAAATTGGAGGTGGGGATCCAGAAGAGGACAGAAAAAAGAAAAGGAGAAAATAGTAGTCCTTAAACATTAGCTAGGGGAAGCAAATTCTAATTGTGAGTTATATTTTTTCACAAGTGAAGGCACTGTCAACTAGGAGATGCATCTTGATGTATCTGAAGAAAAATGTACTATGTGAGGGTAAGAGGAGTTCAGCCTTGGCTCTAAGCCTGCTTCACCTATCTTTGCTATGGGCCCCAGGTTAATTCATCTAACTTCTCTTGTCTACACAAGAGGAAGGCTGAGTTCAACGAATGCACCTTCCTACTCTAAGGTGTCTACACAATTTTGGTCAATCGTCAAAAACAGTGAAGAGATATTTTCTCTTTGTTTTTTCAAATACAGAGATAAAATTATGTTGGAGGGGGTTTGGGGATTTTTGCAGGATGGTGATGGTAATTCTTATAATGAATGAGACCAATTATTATTTAACCAGAAAAATATAAAAGCATATTTATGTTTCCTTTGTTCGATATGTGTCAAACAGATTCAGCACCATGCCTCAAACCACAAAGTGACTGCAAAATACCACTAACATGAAATATCCTAGTAGATCCCAGTAAGGAGTTTTCATCTTCTCCTTTGACAGTTCTCGTCAAGGAAGTGATGAGGTAGAGGAATCAAGCACTGGAGTCAGATGGACCTGGGTTCAAACCCTGACTCTAGCAAGGAATGGTTGTGGAGTGGGGCTCTGGACAGGTGATGTTGTCTGAGTCTTACCATAATGCCATGTGCACAGAAGAAATGCACAAGAATGCATTACATGCAAAACTCAAGGCCCCCACATGATCAACTAAAAATTAAAACTAGGAATGCCTCCACATCAACTAAGTGTTGATTTTGACTTAGGGTTTTCCTTTTTCTACACGAATCCGGCTAATATTTTTCTAATTAGTGAGCTTTTTGCAGTCAAGCCAGCTAAACAATACTATCTTTTAAAATCAAGGGATGGAGAGCAATTTTAAAAAGTAAGCTCTGAATCCTAGCACTCTGGGAGGCTGAGACGATCGGATCGTTTGAGCTCAGGAGTTCGAGACCAGCCTGAGCGAGAGCCAGACCCCATCTCTACTATAAAAATAGAAAGAAATTAGCTGGACAACTAAAAATAGAAAGAAAAAATTAGCCGGGCATGGTGGCGCATGCCTGTAGTCCCAGCTACTTGGGAGGCTGAGGCAGGAGGATC